AGGACTAATCAGTCCAGTCGAGACGCCTGCCTGAGACAACGACAGTTGTGCCGTTTTGGGAAAAGTCACAATGAAGCAGCCCTTGCCCAACAGACGAGGTTTCGCGGCCGTGAACTGAATGGGATCTAGTCTTCAAAGAATTTAAAGAGAGGATTTAAAGGTACGGTCCAGAATTAGGCACGCTCACCTGTCTTATCACCGATCGTAGTGAACAGGTGTACAAGCATTAAAAACGTTCCCTTCTACGGTTTGCAAGTGGACGACAAAGGAGCTGGAGATGCATCGAGTCACAATCCACGCCTTTGTTCATTAGCACTGCGGCTCAATGTGGCACTTCCCTATTCGTGGTGTGGAGCACCGCTTGACCTTTTTTAGAGAGCTCAATGAGAAGGGGGAACTCGTCAAAAGGAAGATAAAAGGGAATAAATATAACACGAAAATAAAGGATGAAAAAAGAACATAAGATGAAAGAAGTCTCACACCATCTGTGCCAGGAAACAATGACTCTATCGGTGGTGGCATGTAGCCAATAGTTGGGGAACTGGAGTAACCCAGCCATTCGTGTGACTCGTCCAAACACGCCTCTTCTTGATCCTGAGGTGGAATGCGGCTCAGGGAGAGGGGCGGGGCTTGTTTAGGGCGTGATCGGGGGTTGCGTTTGATTCGTTTTTCGTATCTTGACCACTCTTCACCCCCTCTTCATTATTGAACTCTCTCACACACCTATTTTATATCGAGACTTGTTTTTAATAGAATACCCAAAAAACGAAACGTGCCTTTCGTGCTCCCCATTCTCATAGGTGAGTGGATTTGTCTATAATTCTATGACTGCTCCGAAATTTACGACGGAATGATCAAATGTATGTGGAAGGAACTTATTAGTACCCAGCTCTATTAGGTTATGAAGCTAATATTGAAAATATGTTAGTTATCTGCACCATTTTTTTGCAGCATACCGCTGGTAATGCAACAGGTTCCCATGCTGTGAAAATAATCGGATGGGGACAAGATGGCGACACACCCTATTGGATCATCGCCAACTCGTGGGGCGACTGGGGAGAGCATGGTAAGCCTTTCTGAACGTTATGACCGCATACAGCGCATATAGAAAATGATTTCGGAGCCGAAAGCCAGAAGCAGTTCATTGAAGAACCTCACAACGATTCAAGCTTCTGTAGACCAAACAAATGAAGAGTCTAAGCTTACGATGGGAAAAAGAAAAGATCTGGAAAGCGAAAGGCTGAAAATTTCTGCCAGTTCTGGTTGATTTTCGCGCTTATTTCTCGGAAAGCTCAAACGAGAACATAAAAGAGATACTTGAAGTATCGAGAGTGTAAGGGGAGATCCACAGGTGCTCAACTGCTCGCTCATTCACTAAAGTGAGGCCTCATTGCAACTGTTTTTCAGGGTTCTTCCGCATGGTTCGTGGAATTAACGACTGTGGAATCGAAGAAAGCGTAACTGCTGTGGTTGTCGGGAATGGTCAAAAGAACCAGTGAGCGTACACGGAAAATGCCAGAATGAAGACTGTCAGTAGTGATAAATAGTACAGTACTGTAATTCTTCACGAATTTCTGCATTACGGTACATTGAAAATGAACGCATTGTGCAATTTTCGTATTCACACCGATCAATTTCGGAAGTGATAGAACAATTCAGTAGAAAGGAGTGGAGGATGTAGATGGAGTGAGGATGCCCACTTGGGCCGAATGGCCAAAACGGTGACATTTCTCTCCG